GTTTAGACTCTGGCTAGCTACAGGTAGTATTAACATCCACAGAACAGTTTAAACCAAGATTTGTTGCAGCTGGTAAACTATTTAGTATTATTGTTTACAGGACAGTTTAGACTCTGGCTAGCTACAGGTAGTATTCATATTCACGGTTTTGTCTAGACGAAGGCTTGCTACAGCTGGTAAGATATCTATAAAACACGTTTCTCTCTCTTGTTGTTGTTGAAAATCTTTTATTCCAGGTATTTATGACGAGCTTCCCGATCTGTCGCACGAGAAGTTGCTATTAATTCCATCTCTCACCCCTTAGAAACACATAACTGCACGATATAAGCCGACGAGCGCCTAACCGTTTAGAGCTGTTTAATGCGCTTTGACTTTACTTATCTTGAGGCGGTGAATATTTTAAAGTATGAATCAATTTTGAGTGGTGAAATTCATGACAGCGCTCTCTAGCTTGGTCCTGTTTTAAACATAATATTAGCAATGCTTAACGAATTAGAAACGTTCAACGTTCGTGGAGTGTCTCTTAAAAATAAATAGGATAAGTTTCGATGACAAGTTTCGATCCCGTTAATCGCAGATTACGAGTAGCGTGCCTTAACAAACTAACATTAAAACCACAGTTGAGTTATGAGAACAAACTAACACTAATACCACAGTTGAGTTACGAGAACAGAAGAACAGACTAACACTAATACCACAGTTGAGTTACGAGAACAAACTAACACTAAAACCACAGTTGAGTTACGAGAACAGAAGAACAGACTAACACTAATACCACAGTTGAGTTACGAGAACAAACTAACACTAATACCAAAGTTGAGTTACGAGAACAAACTAACACTAAAACCACAGTTGAGTTACGAGAACAGAAGAACAGACTAACACAAATACCACAGTTGAGTTACGAGAACAAACTAACACTAAAACCACAGTTGAGTTACGAGAACAGAAGAACATACTAACATTAATACCACAGATGAGGATTTGAAATAATGGAAATAATATAATAAATAATATTTATAATAAACTCTATAGTTTTTGTTAAGCCTTAGAGACAGACACTTGCTAAACGTTTGTATAATATAATTATTGACCTT